TTCTATGTTTTCATCATACCTTCTTTTTCGATACCTAAATGTTTCCATTTCCGCCGAAACAACCTTGAAAATAGCTATGGAATCAGTATTCCACCCCCCGTATGCCAACTTAACCATCATCCAACCACCCCAGCTATTGATAGCCGAATCGGGGGCGTGAAAAGAAGCAAAAAACGAAGAAAAATGGACGAGAGCGGAAAAAGAATTTCCATTTCCCCGGCCACGCCCTTTTGAGGAGATTTCTTTTTCCGTTCCGCGCTACGCCTATCCAAATTCCCGGATTTCTATGTGGTTTTTGCTGGATCTGGATGGATAGAGAGCTTCGCTTTACATATTTGCATTTTTGCGTTTTAATTGTTAGATTCTGATTTTTACTGATTTTTAGAATTTATTCTTTAAGTTTTTAGCAAAACAAAAAAGGCGCCAAATGCTCCAATTTGCATGATCCCAAAACCGAAACCGAACATATAAATTTTCATATTGTTTAAGCTATTTAAAAACCTATATTTTTCATTATTATTTTCTTACATATTCACGTTTAAACGCTGCTGTCACGCTCCCTTTAAACAAAGATTTCATTCAAATCGAGCTATTTGCTTGAAGGGGGTGAGGAGTGAGGGTAGGGGAAGAGGAGGTGGTGGAGGGGGTATTATAAACGAGGTTAACGACACACCTGCTCCATTCCCTCTTTTTCGGCTTTCATTTCTTTCCCTCTTTGCTCCCTCCTATACACAACCTGCCTCCACAATTTGACCCTGAAAATGAGGCTGGGAACTGGCGGCTGCGGTTTTTTCGATCGTTGGGCTTGATTTGGCGGATTTGAAGGCTTAGGAATATAATTTTCTACCTATCACCATACCTCTCTCTCTCTCTCTCTCTCTCTCTCTCTCCCTCTCGATCGCTATCTTTCACTCGCATATTCGGATGTAAATTGCTAAAAAATAGCCATTGACTATTTGGAGCTCAATTAATGCCTAGTACACGGTTATGTCATACTCCATTGTCGCCTTCCTTTTAAAAACCACTTTCCCAGCCAATCCTACCCTCACCTCGACCTCCAAAAAACGGGGTGGCGCTCAATTTCAACCCACGACCCATACAGCCACACACGGAAACGATGGCATTGTTGTTTGCGGGTGGATGGGATTTTATTCCTCACTCTCTCTCTCTCTCTCTCTCTCTCTCTCTCTCTCGTTCTCTCTCTCTCTCTCTCTCTCTTTCTCTGTGCCAAGAATGTTGCCGATTTCCCTGTATGCTTCCTTCCCTTTCTAGTATCTATCACCCTCCCTCCGTTCCACCCGACACTTTTTTACATGGGAATCCCATCTTTTCTGCAGGGGTTCCGACAAATTCGTATTGACACTCGGATGCCCTGGGGGGTATCAAACAGGATGGAAACTGGTTGTCTCTCGTTGCCTCTCGTTGTTCAGGCTTTTTCCGAAAGATCTATGGCAGCGTATCACAGGCTTTCTGTAAATTCATGAATGGTCTCTGGTTATCCAATTTCCTAAATTATCTTTGCTAGTTTTCCTGGTTCCTAAATGACGATTGCCAGCTCGTGATTCCCAAAAAAAACAGGGCTTGCTTCCCTTTCCGAAAAACCTCCGCAGTCTGCCGCGTATTCTCAAAATATCTCTGCTACATTCCTAGTGACACAATTGCACGCTAAAAATTCCTTAATGTTCTCTTTTTGCTTGCCGTACTTCCCTGGTCGTTATCTATCCGTTTCCTTTCTCATGCTCATTTTCTCAGCCTCACTTCAGAATGCCGGCCCGCGAGGCGTACCGCTATTTTCGGGATCGTTTCCTCCCAAAAATGTCGATTTCATCGTCTTCAAGTGGAGATTCAAAAAAGACTATGATTCGGATTGTTCCGATTACCATGGTAAATATATCGTAGTGCCATAATACTGTACCTACCGTACCCCAAAAAATACCTAAAATCAGGAAAAGGGGCCCAGAAGTTAAAATCGAAAGCTTTCATTTAATTTTGTTTTTCAGGTTGGCGGTGAGATGCCGATCGGGGAGTGTACCGTGTTGCGGGACCGACCGGCGATGAGGCTGGATTCCCGGCTCGTATGCAAATACGAGATATTGGCGGTGGTCGGGAAGGGCAGTTTCTCACAGGTTTGGATAGGTGTAGGTCGGAATATGTCAGAAATTTAGGTGTTGCGAGTTCAGCATCGGATTTCGCGGAATTATTTTGCAGTGAAGTTGGTGGCCGCTGATTGTGGGGCGGTAGGGGATTTTCGTTTTGGAGAGAGAGAGAGAGAGAGACAGAGACAGAGAGAGAGAGCGAGAGAGAGAAAGAGAGAGAGAGAGAGAGGGAGGCGGAAGTGATAGAGAAAGATAGAAAGCGAGGGGAGGGGTGAGAGAGAGAGAGAGAGAGAGAGAGTGAGAGAGAGAAAGCTAGAAACAGAGAACTTATCCATCCAACATTTACTAGACCAAACTCAGAGTTCCCAGGTGAACAACGAGCTCCACATCCTCAGCCGTCTACAACACCCTAACGTCATCCGACTAGAAGAAGTCTTCAAGTCCTCCTCCCGCCTCTTCATCGTGCTCGAGCTGGCCTCTGGCGGAGAAATGTACGATCGTGTCGTCTCCAAAGGACGATATTCAGAACAGGAAGCACGACAGGCATTAAAGGTATCGTGTTTTCGTCAATTCCCAAATGATATTTGCTAGCTTGCACCAACTCAAAATTGTGTTTTTTTCAGATGTTGCTGGCCGGACTCGCCTACCTTCATTCAATCCGGGTGACACATAGGGATTTGAAGCCTGAGAATTTGTTGTATGCGGATACACGGCCGGAGGCTAGGTAAGGGACCGGGATAATAAAACATCTGAATACCGGAAAAATAGCAAAAACAGCGATAATCCCCAAAATGCCGAAAATACGGATAATACCGAATTTCTAAGAAATTTTGTAACGTACAGATTTTGAATGCGATATTTGGAATTTCGCCGTTTTCAAGGTCGGAATATTCGGCATTCTCGGTATTTTACGCTTGGATATCCAGAGTCGGCATTTTTTTCTATTTTGTCGGTAATTTCGAAATGCTTAAATTCTATAGTTTATAAGCTGATATTCTGAGTTTTAATCATACGCAAATCAGTCATGAGATGTAGCTTATTGAAATCTGTAAAAATTTTTTGTATAATCGTCATAAAATCGGATTTTTCGGTATTTTCGAGATTTAGAAGTCGGCATTACCAAAGCTTGTTCAGGTTGTTGATCACCGACTTCGGACTGGCCCACCAGTCTACCTATTCCGGGGAGACGATGACAGAAACCTGCGGAACTCCCGAATATATCGCCCCTGAATTGTTGCTCCGGGTACCGTACACCGACAAAGTAAGTTTTCTGTTGGCTTAAATAAAAGATTTTTGTATTTAAATTCGGCGGTAATTGCCCTATTTTCAGGTGGATATGTGGGCGGTTGGAGTGATTGCCTACATCTTGATGTCGGGGATTATGCCGTTTGATGATGATTGTCGGAGTCGACTCTATACCCATATTATCACCGCTAATTATGTTTATTATCCACAGGTGAGAAGAAAATACTTTAAATTCAAAATTTAAAAGGTTTAAAAACAAAAACATCAATAGACCCTATCTTCAAAGATTTTGTTTTAAGAAGGCCAAAGAGCGTAATAATAAAAATAGCTGAAATAGATGACCTAGGAGAGCTTCTGGAAGCGCATACCATAAAAGGACATCTTAATACTATACCTTAAAGAAAACCACTTCTAAAATCGAAATATCGAACCTTCAGCTCCAGATTTTACAAAACCCTGCGCCCATCTGGCCCACTAGGCACGCCCACTGGGTTCAAAAGCCCCCGCCCCCTCCAGGGCTCCTGTACCGCGGTGGCGGAGTGTTTCCGCCCTGGCATCACCAAAAAAACGATCCGAGTTCGAAACCTCCCACCGAAAAGGTTTTTTGCTTTTTGGCCAAAAGTTAGCTTGAACCTTTCTGAAGCCTTTTTGACTATTTTAAAGGGGCAGGGAAGCCTGAACAGTCAGCAATTTTAGACGCGAAAAATTCCCGAAGCCTTCAAATTTTTAACTTCCTGAGAAGAATTTAGCCTTTTCAAGTTTTAAAAACCCACCTTTTTTCAGTTCTGGTCCGGCTCCGAGCTGGCGAAGACATTCGTCGACAGCCTGCTGGAGATGAACGCGCGTACCCGGTTGTCCGCCACCGAGGCGATGAAGCACGACTGGATCGTTGGTGCGTCATTTTCAGATTTTTAGAACAAACATCTAATTCCAGGCGAATCTCGTGCTCAACATCCGATCAAGTCGAGGCCGTCCAGCGAGTACAACGCCATGCAACGGGTATGGAATTTAAGGTTGTACCTATCGACCCATTTTTCAGACAAAATCGACACGTTCGATTCGGTCAGTCACCCGGTCAGACCATGGACATCGCGTCGACCCAAGGTAGGATTTTTCAAATTTTTGACGGAAGATCTGGCTTACAAGTCCCTTTAAAAGCTGAGAACGCTAGGAAAATTCTCATCTTTATGCTCCCTTTTGCAGAGAAGTCGACCAGCTGGCCCAGGATCTCAAGAAGGCCGCCCAGAGCACCAAGCATTATGGCGTCTTTTAGGGCAACGAATTACGGTATGTAACTTGGATTTTAGAAAATGGACAGGCTAGCCGAGACTTTTTGAGCATTCTCTTAGATATAACTTCAGTTATGCCTATTCCTAAAAAGGGCCGGCTAGCAGAAACCTTTGGGGAAATGGCAAAATCATCCAATTCATGTCTGGAAATTCCCAGGCAAGCTAGCATTAATTCATGGGGAATTTTTGTAGCTTTGTTCTTCCTAAGGTATCCGGGGTAGGCTAGCAGGGATTCTTTAGAAATTTACTATGTTTCTAACCGTCTGGGGCAAGTTTGCAGAGGTTATTTGAGAAGTTACGACACGTAAATCAGAGCAAAGTTAGGATCTAAGGCAGGCTAGCAGAGATCTTAGGGGAATTGGGGATTTTTTTATGGTGAGGCCAGCTAGCGGAGAGCATTTGAGGCAGGCTAGCAGAGATCATTTAGGAGGTGCTAAAGAGTTTAAAACTTTGACATTTGAAGTTAGGAATTAAATAATTCCCTTTCAGCTACGGGAACCCGTCTCCAATATTTCTATTGCTGCAGGATTGCTCCTTCAGAGGAAGAGCTTATTTCATTTTCGAACCGACCCCCATTTGTGTCTCTTTTATTGTTTTTCCAGGGGTTATTCTCATCTTTGTGGCCTCAGTTTCTCTGCGTATCACCATTTTTACGCCTATTTACACTGCTCAAAAGCCCCAAAATGATGCTATGTGTCTTCTCCTGAATTTGTACATATACGCGGTAGATAGCTCGATTTAATTCTGGATTTGAATTCATTGAATTTTTCTGTAACCTCCCGCCTTTTTACCCCCTTACAAAAATGCTCCGTTGACCGCGTCTAGTCAAACCCCCCAAAAATGGACCGAAACATCGTCTCTAACCCTCGATTATTGTTTTTCCTGTCATGTTTATTGATATGCCGTCTTTGAATTTGAATTCTGTTTTTGCGAATTTGAAATAAGAGATAAACGAACTACCATGCATATATAGTATTTAAAATGTCATAAAGACAAATGAGTCTATAAAAAACCTAACCGGATTAATCGGCCAAAAAGCAAAAAGTATCGACCACGGAAGGATTCGAACCTTCAATCTTCTGCTCCGTAGGCAGACGCGTTATCCATTGCGCCACGCGGCCATGTGGTCGTGGGAGAGGGAGGGGCTGATGAACCCCAAGGAAGCCCGAACCTGGGCTCCAGGAAATATGATTTTTCGCTCGTTTTGTTCAAATTTAACATTTTCTAAAAGATAAAACTACATCCGTCTCGCGCAGAATTTTACGCTGATTCCGAATATGTTTTCAGAAATTCAGAATAGCGCTTATTTCAAAAGTTACACGAGATTTCCGAGTCAAATAGAGAAAGTTTTGACAATTCATGATTTTTGCTTTCAAAAATATTTTTTGAAACTTGGTAGTTTCAGCCTTACACGCACCGTTAGCCATAATTGGCAACACCGGGCTGGTGGTTGCGGTTTTATACGCGAGAGCCGGGGATGGGAACCTGTTTCCGATGAAACCAGCGGCTCGCCGGAGCTCTCGGCTGGTAGCAACAGATATTCGTAGAGCATTTTTTGGAATTTCAATTTTAGCAGAATTTCCAAGATATTTTTTATCTAACCGGTCTTAAAAAGGTTGAACGCTTGAATTAACCCCAAAAATGCATTTATTGGCCCTTAGCAACCACATCACCTACCTCGAGAAATCGGCTAGAAACATCATTAAAATAAGTTTTAAAACTTTTTAAACTAAAAGATTTAATAGCTTTTATAAACGTTGAAAGAGTTCCGAGCTCAATCTGAATGGATAGGACCATTTTTAGTACTCCTTTACATTTTTTCAAGCTAAATTCAACCCAGCTTATCAAAAAATTCCTGAAAACCGTTAGCTTATTTCGAATCAAATGAGGCGAGCTTTTCCCTCCTCTGAAATGTTATGATTTGCGCCGCTCGGGCAAGCGATGACAATATTCTTTCGGTTGGCGGCGAGTGATGATTTTTGTGCCGAGAGCCGGGCAGAGGACTACATTTCTTTCCGTTTTTCTTTTTCCTTGCTCTCTCTCTCTCTCGCTCTCTCTCTCTCCCACTCTCTCCCGCCCAGACGGGAGTGGTCATCATCATCATCATCATCATCAGCAGAGGACATTCATCGAGCTATCAGCTCCAATCCATAGGCGGGTTTTTGAACGCGCGGCTTTGAACTTTCCAGCAACTTTTCAACCTTTTCAGCTTCAAACATACTACCATTTCTACATTTTCCAGAAAAAACCAAAACTTGATGCCAAGGTGGGGTTCGAACACGGGTCATGTAAATCGTAAACGAGCACTTCACCAATTAGCCAAGAAACCAAACAGCCGAGCCTGTGCGATTGGTACTAGACTGTTAGCGGGGGGAGGGCTTTCCTGACGTAAGCTTTTTAATGCTGGGTCAACAAACACTTTCCCCAGGTTAGCGAAAGTTACCTGAAAAAGTGGTTGTCAGCGGTCAAAAGTGTGTGATCTCGTTCCTTTTGCTCAACACACCACAACTGCCGCCTGAAAAAACCTCTCGGCAAACAGCACACTATTCCGGGTCAGCCGTCCTGAGTCGGTTCTGCACTTGGCAACGTGCCCATTTTAAATGACTTCAGAATTTTCCTTTTTAACTGATTGTTTTGCAAATTTGCATGGGGGCAGTGACAAAAGGAAGGCAATATTTTCGAAAATTTTGGAATTTTGAAATGCACATTTTTGTGTTTTATTATTTACAAAACCACTATAGCAATTTGATTGTTTTTCTTATTTATTATTTTATTTTATTTTAATGTACTTTTATGTATTTGGTCGATTCCAATTTGAGGTATGTTAGTGTTAAGATATAAATTTGAGACATTTTGAAAAATTTAAAGGAAAATATACCGTTTTAGAAAACTAATTTTGCTAATATTTGAAATTCAGCATTTTGTATGAAAGTGAATTGTTTCAATTTCGAAAATGTCACGAACTCGGCGCTGTCCAAATTCCAACTGAAATTTCCATCTAACTACTCTTTACATGCCTATTTCCGGAAATTGAATGTTTACTTCTACAGGTCGGCCACTGGCGGTATGGCGGCCTCGTTCGAGTTCCAGGGCCGGAAATACGTGCTCGACGATGCGGCCAAACAGGTGAGGGACAGTCAATCTCTCTCTCGCTCTCTCTCTCTCTCTCTCTCTCTCTCTCTCTCTCTCTCTCTCTCGCCTAATTCGAAATTTTTTGCAGTACAAAACTGCCTTCGATGATTGCCGCGGCGCGCTCGAGGAGACGGCAGCCATTTTCCGGGAGCCAGGCTTCGACACGGATATGAATGGGTGGAAGGTAGTGTCACTGTCCCTTCAAGTCTACTCAATCTCTGCTAGATTGCCCCCACAAAATTTTTGTCCTAGCCGGACCACTCGAGCCAGACGACCAAGATGTTCTACAGCGACCGCAAGACTGGGCGCTATTTTTGTGGAAGGTGGTTTTTAAGGCTGACCTTGAGTTCAAGATCCATAGTCTTGCCTTGCCGATCCCTTTGTGATTTCTAGACCCCACTCCCCTGACCACCGAAAAGGCGCTGGCCAATACCGTGTTCACCGACGTCGAGCTCGGTGAAGTGGAACGACAGCTACAAGTGCTGAAAAGCCTGTGTATCCAGCTCAGGGAGGATTGGATCTTCCTCTTTTGAGGTGATGAGAGAGGAGGCGCGGGCAGAGAGAGAAGAGAAACGCGAGCGGAGGATAGCGAGAAAGAAAGCAAATTTTTCAGTACACCCCAACAGAAGCTGATCGTTTGAAAGGGACGGCGAAAATTTATCCGCGGGCTGTATTCAGGGATGCG